ACTAGTGGTTAGTTTGCGTGCCCCATGGACAGAGGAGAAAAGTTTGTCCTTGTATTAAATCATCACTCTGTGGATAGGTGGCCAATTTCACTTCCTTCTAGATGTGTGCTTTTTGGCTTGCTGTCTTTGCCAAAAAAAGTCTGCGAGGATCGCACGTCTACGAGAGACTCTGGATTCAACACACCCATCTGTGCAAATAAACACAACGTTTGAATTGTGTCTCAATGTTGCACAGATCGGTTTAGACGGCCACTGAGGAAGTTTTCGACCCATTGAATTTTGGTTTCACAATTTCAGGTTCATAAAATGTGTAAGAAAAGTGAGCATTTTTTTTTGTAACAATAAACACTGTCCCACAAAAGAATCAAATTGTAACAGCATAAGAAAGGATTCAAAATAAAGCTATGCTAAGCTAAATTTTAAAAAAAAGCACTGTTCTAGCTTTAGTTTTCACAAATTCTTCAATGGCCAAAGAATGATTGCCTGCACATGTCTATGAGCGGTGCGTCTTTTAATGTACTGTGCAGTGTGTGTTGCAGCATTATCAAATACACATTCGCCTTCTGCGCTAACAACCATATGTCTACACACACACAGAGATAGAAAAGAGAGAGAGAGAGAGAGAGAGAGAGAGAGAGAGCGAGAGGGAGAGCATGTCGTCTTGCTGCTTTTACTGCCCAGAGATTGGCTTGATGATTTGTTTGAAATCATAAAAAACACTGTCGACTAGCAACGCTGCTAATATTTACCCCACATGTCTGTCTGCCCAACCACCCCTCAATCTGTGTGTGTGTGTGTGTGTGTTTGTGTGCGTTCAACTTGACTGCTCCATGCTCCCACTACAGATAAACATTGCGTCAAAATATGGTCCGCAAAATGAGAGGAGAGAAAGATAGAGATACAGACAGTGAAAGAGTGAGAGAGATAGAGACTGAGAGGGATATATAAGAGGTATTTTACCCGCCCTCTGCTCTGCAGGAATGTAATCTTGGCTTAGAACAGTCTGGTAACACAAAGAAACCTGCTGCACAGTGCTACTATTACAGATATAACACAAACACACACATGCACACACACATTTAGTCTCTTACTCAGAACTCAGACATGATGACAGTGGGTGTGTCAGGACTGGCAGGTAGACAAAGCACAAGGTCTAAGCTGCATTCAGTTTAGTATGTAGTATTCAAACTGTTCTCTATGGTAGACAGATACAACTCTTTTTTTTTTACGACCTGTTGGGTGTAAACAAAGACTTGCTGCTGCTTTCGAGTTCGAACAAGGTCATAGCTCTGCAGCCCCCAATAATTCCATTGTTTACTTATGTTTGTATAAGTGTGTGTGTCAACGTGTGAGGGTCTACCAGGGTGTAATGTGAACCATCCCATCCAGGGATGGGTGTGGCCTGAAGTAAATGAGGTGAAAACCAGACTGAGCGGGAAATCAAGTAGAGGGAGCAGAACCACGATGGGAGGAGAATGGAAACAAGCAACGGAGACGAGGACAACAAGTGAAGGAGGAGCGAACTAGAATAGGCTTGCATTAGTTACATGTAGGAGGGTACAGTATTTGAAATGAGCGGGAAGTTTACCTCTGTGTGGGCGGGGCTGGAGTTGCAGTTTAATGAACTGTGAGACAATTATTTCAGACTTATTATAGTGTCAACTAATGACGCAGGCATTAGCTCAACTTCGTCTGAAACCTGATCTGGCTTCACTCCAATCTGATAAGAGGGCTGTGGTGAAGCAACACAAGTAATTACAACTACTTTAGTTAAAAGTAGGTTACTTTCTAGACATATTATGGTCATTTTGAACACTCCTTCTTAGTTTTAGTTTTTTTTAAAAGTCAGAAACTCAGAGGAGCACATGCTCAGAGGAGCACATGCTACATTTCCACCTGTCTCCTCAGGTATCCTGTTTAGGTTTGTATTTAAGCAGATCTAAATATTTAGGTCTAAGTATTAATCTTACAGATTTAGTGTCAGTGTATCATTCCTAACTTGTCTGCTCAGTGGTTTATCATTAACAGACAACGTTGCAAAGCTTATTTTAAATCAGGGAGTTCTGGCAGTCATTATCCTTCTCCAAATATTTACCCCCCTTTGACATAGCTTAGCTGTCTGTGCTGCACGGAGCAGATACACAGGCAACAGAAAAGGCTCCACTCTGAGGATAAGGCCAAGATTAAGGCTAGCGAACACTCCCACATACACGTGTAATGTACGTGTATGGACAACTGCGCACAACAACAACTTAGCTTCAATTCTGTGGCAAGGTTGTTCTGATTGATTATCTTGAGGGTATCTCATCCACATTTGATTACTGTCATGAACATCTTCCCATGAAAAATTGCAATTAAACTTAAAATGATATTCCCTGCTCTAATTCCCTCAACGTAGACTCTACAAGTGTGGTTTTTGCAGACACATGTTTTTGTATGAGGCTATGTCTGTGTGTGTGTGTGTGGACCATGTGAAAAGGAGGCCAAAAAAAGAGAGCAAGAGAGAGAGAGTGAAAGAGAGAGAGAGAGAGAAAGAGAGTGTGTGGCTGTTGGAAAAAACGCTTGGGTTTGGGTGTGACCCCCTCAACTATGCACTGGTGATCATGTGAGACCTGGTCTAATTATACACCTCTCAAGAAGAAGGCCGATCCTCCCTCATGGGCAGAGAGTGTGTGCACATATGTTCAAGAGGGTGCGTGTGTGTGTGTGTGTGTGCGCGTGTGTGTAACGGGTAGGGGGGATGAGGGGGTCTAAGGGGTGAAAGACGTGTAATTGAGAGCAAAGTCAGTTCATGTAAGACAACTAAATTGATAAATTGTACTATTTAAAACAGTTGAAGGTGAAAAGGCGAAAGTAAAGTCAGATGTGAATTGACAGCATGTGGGTTTTTAGGCCTGTGTAAGAAAGAAAGCCTTTCCAATCTAATGTGTCTCTTTCATTCTGTTATTATTTAAGGTATTACAGTATTTCCAAGCTGTATACTGCACTAAGGGAACAACAGCCTTTGCTTCTTGTCCTCCATCCTCTTAAATGTTCTCTCTCTCTCTCTCTCTCTCTCTCTCTCTCTCACCCCCTCTAGCTTCCTCCTGCTGTTTCCACTGTGGGTTTTAGAGACCTGCTCTGTTTTTCATTACCAGTGGAAAAATGGGGCAAACAGTTAAAAAAAGTATCAACCATCTCCATTAATACAGGGAGTCCTAGTGGAAAATGAGTCCAATCTACTAAAATAGGCCCCTTGGTTCCTACAAAAAGCCTACATATATTTGCCAGATGACCTTTACCTCAGAAAGACAATTAAACACAACTTTACGTATTGAGATCGTTCAACATCTAAATAAAAGCACTACTGTATTGTCTAAATGTCTTCATGTCCATTATGTATTTAAAGCTATTATATTTCTACAGGGATTTACATCTTTGGACACCATTTTACAGTTTTGGCCCAAATGTTGTTGGTTTGTTAGATCATTTTACCTCCCCAATTAATTTCTGGTATCTGAAAATAAGGCAGCATCCCTTAAACAGTAGCTGCAGGGACAGGTATAAGTACTAAAGGCATTCACAGGATGTATCACAAGTTGTAAACAATCAGACAGTGTATCCGGATTATTTACTGAAAACACATGATCACATGAACTAGCATGTGTGTCTGTAAACTGCGATGAACAGTTGGGGTAATGTTTTTTTTCTCAGCTTTGTCTTACCCTCCTAAGAAGTTGATTAATCCTGAAGATTTGTTTGACCCTGGGTGTTTTTCAGTAAAAGTTGAGGAGAATTAAGAAAAGATTTGGGCCTTTTTTCAGAATAGGATTGACAGCAAAAAAAACTTAAAAAGAGTCAATATGTCATAACAGTGATTAGATTTAGCACACACACATGGACAGGCATTAGCGCAGTGTGAGGAAACTTGGGAAGACTTCAGCTTGGGCTTGAGACAATGTTCCTCTGTCCACATCTGGCCATAAACACTGTTCTGTGAGTCGACTCACACACGCTGTCCTCATCCTAACCCTGCCCCGCTTGAACACTGCCAATAACCACGAGTCACCAATGTCTGCAGGGGCAGAATACAAACAGAAGTGAAAAACACACGCAGCCGAACCTGTGTGTGTGTGTGTGTGTGTGTGTGTGTGTATGACAATGCTGGAAACTTTGGATTGGGGTACGCCCATCTCTAGAGATCATGCGCTTCGATAAAAAGACCGATTGTGAAAGAGAGAGAGAATGAAGAGAATGAGAAAGAAAAAAAAGATGTTTGCTTTTTTTTTTTTTGAACACAAACGTTGACCCAAATCAGCCCCTCGACTTTGCATGTACAGTATACCCATATAGAAACAACCATACACACAGACACAAACCCCCTCTAACTGTCCCCAGGGCCTTTATACAGGAAGTGGTTTGTCTGACTAAGATCTACATGATGATGCTATCACCTTGTTTCTGTCTAACTGTTGGAACATGTTGCGCTCAGGGCATCCATATGAGTTTGTACATGTGATGGCCTATTCATCTGTCTTTCCTTTACAAAAGCTGGCACACAGCAGTGTTTATCCCTTCTAGAAGGACAGTGCTGAAGTAATGGATACATGCCACAGTGTTTATCTACAGTGTAATCGTTCCGAAACGTGCAGCAAAAAACTCGTCAAAACACTTCAGCCTGTTCCACAGTGCAGTGTTACCAATGCCTGACTTCTGCTTCCTGAATCTAAAAATCTACAACCCCCTCCTTTCCTTCCTCTCAGTACTCTTGATCACATGTTGCAGTCAGCTGACCAGAAATAGGTGGGACCAAGGAGAGCACATGTTGTGTCCAGACGGTGCTCTCCAGCATGATGTACGCAGTGGATATCTACTGATTCAAGTTTATAACCAGCTAAATTTCCTCTCTCTTGTCTCGCTTGTCAGACTGATTGTGCTTGTTCTCTTATCAGCGGCTTATCATTTTTTCCAAGATGTGACCTCTAGACTTCCTGTTCACACACCTGCCTCTCATTTCTTACCTTGAGTGAGTCAAAGCAAGCGATGACCCGTCCATTGTCGATCTGACAGCTCTTGGCCGGGTGAGCGAACTTGCACTCCTGGTCTGAGCGAGAGCAAGTGCCCCTCTGGAACTCCCTGCATACCTCGAGTGTCAGCCACTTTGTGTCACGAATATGTGCCATGTTCATTGCCATGGCAACAAGCTGGCGAGAGGTATTCCGAGGTGAAATCTGCTCGAGGGAGAATAAAGAACCTCTAAGGTTTTAATCCACAACCTTAAGGTATTTGTTTGTTTATCTGTTGTTATAGCCTGTGATTTGTGAATGATATGTGGAAATTAAATATTTAAATCGAAAAGTTCCTATTGATTGAGAGGGGTCCTTTTCCAAATTGAAATGTTGCAAAGTTATGTTTGGCTGTAAATGTTGGAAATATATCCTATAACAGTCAACCAAAGAGGAAACGTTTATATCCTGGAGATGACTCCGCCTTACAATGAATTCACTCTTGGTTTGAATTTTTCTCTTGCTGAGCGATTCTCTTCTGCAACATTCAAAAGCCCAGGAGGCAAAAGATGAAGAACACAGTCCTCTGGTTAGGTGCAGTGAAGCAGGCAACAAAGGTGATAGTCTGGGTGTGGCCTGCGACACGTAGGTTAAGGACACTGAGGACCGAGTGGAGGCTTAGAGGGTTGAAGGCGAAGGTTAAAGGCAGGGTGGGTGAGATGCTGCTTGGGCCTGGTGGTGTGTCGGGCTGCTGTGGTAAGGCTGGTCAGTTGGCAGAGGGGCTGTCGGCAAGGAGTGGATGGTGATGTTGGTGGATGGACGAGCAGGTCAGGGAGTCGGCTGCAAGGAGGGTGTGGTCGCTGTCCTTGTACTCGTGTTACTGTGGCAGCAAGCGAGCGAGGTGGGGGGGAGGGAGGAGCTTCAGCTGTAGAAGCAGGTCAAAGCTGCAGCAGACATCAGGGAAGGCACTTCCTCTGGGGAGAGAGAGAAGGATAAAAATGAGGGAAGGACAGATAGTTTAGTTTGATGATATCAAACATGCAACAAAAACTTTTCGATTTATTTCTCTTTTATAGCAGGTTCAGACCTGCAGTATTTTTCAAACTTGTGCAAATGTTAAGCTATGCGGCAGTTGGAATGAAGAATCAGTAAAAATGTCAGAAATGCAGGGGTGTCAGCTTAAACAAATAAAACATTCACCCGCCCTGTGCTCTAAACACACATGGTGCGCACACAGGCTCATCACACCACGCCACACACACAGACACACAAATACACACACTAAAAGACACAAAGCAGCCATTCAGAACTTTCCACCTCCTCTGGTCGAAGCAGGAAAATCGGATCAAATCCTGTATCACTTACAGTCGAGTACCGCGAAGCAGACCATTGCAAATGTGTTTAGAGGTGAGAGAAAGGAAGAGAGTGAAAGCAGAGGGGAAGTCGAGGCAGGGCATGTGGGAGAAGAGGTTAGTCATTTCCCTTCTTGCGAAGCGGTGTGAGTGTAGGGACCAATGAGAGCCGGCTGAGTTGCAGCAACATTCATGGCTGAGCGCCAGGTGAGAGCAGGGGGAGGCGCAAAGAGGAGGCTGACCTGCCCGCTGCTAAAGGAAGAGAGAGCGAGAGAGAGAGAGAGAGAGAGAGAGAGAGAGAGAGAGACTAAACTAATCACTCTTCTCACTTTTAATATAACTGTTTTTATCGCAAACAGACGATACTTTTCTTTTAAACAACAAACTTTTCAGATCTTTTAGATCTTCCATGAATTCAAGTATTTTTTTCTTAAATGAACCGTCATCAGCACAGCAACACTGTGGTTATCTCACACAGATTTGAACTTTTGATAACACTTTGTTTATTTTTACACTTATTGGTAAATTCCCTCTTTATCACATGCAGAACAGATCATGGGTTGCAAAGTGTTTATGTTTCATTATTTTGTAATGTAGCTTGTGGTTTCTATTTTTGGTGATTCCATTGTATGGGGTTTGCTCACAGAATTAGAATGACTGGGCACCGGGGGGCTCGTTCTGCTCTTATCGCACTGGCAGGGTTACCGGCCACACCCTGTGTAGAGAAATCGCTTTTTCCCAGAACAGCATGTGCACCTTCAGCAATGCTACGAACTGCTGCTAACTTTACGGCACTGCAACACTGCAACATGGCATATCAGAGCCCTGCAGCAGTACAGATCAGGTCATGATGACCCAGCATCATGGATATTTTGTTACAGATAGACAGAGAGAGAGAGAGAGAGAGTAAAGAAGGATACAGCGTTGTTTCACCTTGGTTGAACCTTTTGATAGCAAAAGTAGCTTGACTGCGACAGATGACCTTTGGAGTGCAACCATAGTATCACAAACTACAACCGCCCAACCCCCACAAAACACATACACTGACACGCATGCGAACATCAAAAACACAGGAAAAAGTCCTATACTACAGAGGACCAACAAAAAAGTATGAACCTTTCCAAAAATTCAAACAGAGAAGATATATCAACAACAGCATTCAAGAAAATGAATGATTTTTTTCTGAATAAGAAGCGTTCATGTTGCTTTGTAAGTTTTATAGTGTTCATGCCAAAATACATTTTAACTAAGAGTGACTGGTTTGAATGTCTTGCTCTGAAAGGAAACTGGCTCAACAAATGAAATGCTGTTTCTCTTGTTTACATTTCTGAGGGCATGTTTTTATTCCCATGCATGTCGAAATGTCAAGTCAGCCAAGTCTAATCTTACACTGTAGCCCTGTATGCCCTAGGACCTGTGTTTTACATCTCATATTTCGTTGATCGTAAATGTATTTATAACTACGGCTATGACTCACTTTGTAATAAGTTGAGTTCAGGTGAGGAAGGATACATTCTGAACTCAGCGCTACATGAGCCAATGATTTGGTATTAATCTATTAGACACGTTTTCAAATTGGCACCTAGGATTGTCTTGAGAATGCGCAACTTGATGCATGAAAAACTGATGCCCCCCCCCCCCCCCACTCCTTCTGTCTGGCTGCCTAATCTGTTTCTATGGTTTCTAATAGAGTCAGATGAGCACATTTCTGTGAGAGTGAAATGATGCAGTGTGGTGTAAAACAGTGCTACAGTGATAATCAGCACTCATTCTGATCCATCGTGTCTGGACATGGACGTCCTTCCTCTATTGATTTTTTCATCTCCGTGGTCTTTCTTGTCAGTATGCCACTCCCTCTATCTAATTTCACTTCAACTGCTGATGCCCTTTGTCTCCAAGGTATCCATTAAAAATAGATGACTGTTTAATGTGATCTACTTATCCACTCTAACCACAGAATCTAAACTGTGTTAACTAGTCTATCCAGCTCTACATTGGTTTTCCTGTTCTTTTCACCCTCTCCAACAGTCTCTGTCTTTCTACCCTTAATGTGACTGTCTGGCCTGTGTTCTCTCCCAGCATCCTCAGCAGCCCTCCCTCAGACTACAAGGTCTTGCAAGCTGGTGCAAGGTCAACAACAATGGAAGTAGGGGGGATGTCTATTGAGAAGAGAAGAAGCCGCGGGGTTCCTATTCCTCTTTAGAATGAGTGGTAAAAAAACATACTGTAACATAGCTAAAGAAGAGGAAGTTTATCTTCGATATCAGCACATTGGCTTCAGCTCTGGTCTTGTGACACCAGCATTATGCCTCAGCAGCACAAACAGATTCTGACATGAAAAGAAATCCATGCCATCTTTTACTTAACTTGGTTATGAGTCACAAAACCAATCTGCCCTCAAGATACTGTCGATACACTCTTAATCTCCACTGAAAACATAAACAGTGGTTTTGTGTTTGAAGAATGTCTTAATTGATTGCTTGTTGCAAACCAGGACTGGTGTTTTCAAAATGTCATTGTGGCAAACTGCTGGAGACAATCACAAAAAGGGTGTGGTTCACAGCAATGGTAAGATTGCCTGAAAAATGACACGTTAGTCAGGTTTTGCTAAATGTTTTACCTGAAGTCACGTGTCACTGGAGGCTCTTTTCTGGATAATAATAATAACCATACACTAATGTTAACTGGTGCAAACTACTTCTGAGCTTCTTTTTGAACTGCAACATTAAACTTAACGTATGGCTTCCAACTCATACTCTAATCTTCAGTTCAAGCCACTAAGGAAGAGGCGTTCAGCTCATTTGCTGCTGTTCAGTAAAAGGAGAGGTTTCAGCATATTGACAGAGGTGGAGTCAGGGTGACAGTGTGCTGAGATAGGTCATCACAGCGGAGGACGTTGGTGGAAATGCAACACCCCCGGCGTCTCTGCTGCTGCTGCTGCTCCATGTGCTCAGAATATAGCATGTCAATATTGCACTCACTGACCTTTACCTACATGCATACACTCTAGTGCATATGTGGACACGTGAGCATGTTCCCCTGGCTGTCTCTTGATCTCATTCCTGACTACACAAACTGTCTACACTGCTTCTTTACTTACTGCAGATCTTCTGCACCACATACATCTCATGGTAAACTATATTTATTTTGATGACGTGACGTTGAGAGATCTACCCCACCAAGGTCTGCATACAATGAATTTAAGGGCAATAACATCAGCCTATTTACATTAAAACTAAATGATTATCTGCATTTTACTTTTAAATTGCAGTGAAATTAAAGGATTATGTGATGTACTGTATATTACGGTAAAATATATATATATATATATATATAAAGTATTAATTTGATTTCACCATAATGTAAAGGTAATATATATATACATATACTTATGTGGGATCTTGCTTATTTGAGTTTAACCATAGTTTGTTGTATAATCTTCTCCTTGAAAATGTTCTATCTACTACTTCTGCGTCTTGTTATTTGGATAACATGGCTCTGAGAGTGCACAACAACTCTTATGCACAACAACTAATGCCTATTGATTCCTCTGAGAGCAAACCTCTGGAGACAATTAAATGTCTTGTTTAGTATACATGGACAGAGCGACACACACACACAAACTGCAACAAGATGCACAAATACTAACCTATACAAACAGACAAACCTTTATTTGTCCTGACACTGAGTAGTCTTTAGCTGCGGTGAATATCTGACTGTGTGCGACACTGCATCTTTGTCTTTGCATGTGTGTGTTAGAATGTGGTGAAGTCAACGGACAGTGAAGATAATGGCGGCCTTATGGTTTAATAAGTGGCTCATCGGCTCACATTTATGTTGACTGTGTTGATGTGCTGAGAATGAGACTGGGGTGGCCTGTAATCCACATGAACAAGGTATGAGGTGTTAAAATGAAACATCGACACAGTTTTAAAAGGATATGAATATATGACAATATTCCATGTGATTGCACGAGGCATATTCTTTACCGGGACATTAGGGAATTTCTTTATGAGTAATAAGCATATCACAGCAAATGAACACTAACACATTGTTTATGTTGTTTTTTCCCGTTTTATTTTGCATCGATCTGTATCCCAACAGGTTCATCTGAACTTCCTTTAATCAAGATAAACAGTGGACCAATGAAAAAATGATTTTTAAAATCATAACTGCTGCTTTGACTTTGCTGTCTTGTCCAAACACAATAAAGCAATTCTCTGTCACTGAAATGTACTGTAAGGTAAAGTGCCCAGCGATCTATATATGAAATTTAACGTTTACATACATATAGAAACTGAACCTTTTTTCATTCCTTTGCAGGCACCACAGTATCTCATCAAGAATGCCATTACCACAAGGCGGACACAGTGCCTTGATTGATTAGATTCTTTATCAGTATATTACATGCAAACATTTTTTCCCGGCTAGTTATCTGCATAATTTTCAATAAGGGAATCATTTGCAGGAGGACCAGCCTTACATGTTTTTTTTCTAAATATTCTTTTATTGTGAAGCAATTTGTGACGTCTGCTCTTGAAAAGCACTAAATAAATAAACGTTACTTACATGTACTGGCATCCCCAACATTTTGTATAGAAACAAAGGTAGCAAGGTTTGTAGAAAGAGACTGTTAGTGAGAGAATGTGACTACTAGGGCAGACGTATGTTATTAAATGTTATAGCTGTCTGTCTCTACTTCAGGGAGGGAGAGGTTTTTAGATGTTAAAACAAAAAGAGGAGCCGATGCTGGAGTTAAAAAAAACAAAAAACGAGGACACGCTTGTGTTGACATGTGTACCTCAGGTCAGAACAACAAGGAAAAAACTAGACACTTATCACCGCCTTCAGCTCTGACATGCTGTTAGCCCTGCTGACAAGCACTGTTTTTAGTATAGATAAAGGCAGACACTAGTCAACAATATCTGATAAGCAGTTATTATAAGCTGCTTGAACAGAAAATAAGTGGTTTAGCTGAGCTTTGTATTTTATTAAGTGGAAGGTGTGTTACTCAGCCAACTCCTTGTCAAGCTATGGCTTTGTTGCTCAGAGGGTCTGAAATGTGTTGATAACACAGTAGGAACATACAGAGAATACCTCGTGTAATAAAGGCTTAAACTGTCAACACTGATTCAGCCATGCACATAATCCTGTCTGTAGGGCAGATCCTAGATCATAAGCAAGACTCATAAACGCAGAGCAATTTGTACCGAGTTCACACACATACAACAGTGCACACAGGGAGGATCATTATCTCTGACCTTATTAGTCATTACTTTCGCAATGACACCAACAGCCATTCTGCAAGCTTCTGCATGGCATAAAATGACAGTCTACCTGCAGCAGAGCTACTGTGGGGATTTTACAAAGTCTCGACAACGCAATCTGTTGCACATCTGTTTGCCTGCTGCATGTGTGTGTGTGTGTGTGTGTGTGTGCTACCGTCTGAGCCACCCTGAAACCCTCTAAGTCAAAACAACAACATTCCTCTTCATTGCCCTAACCATGGACACACCACCAGGAGGAAGCCCAGGAAGATGTGGTGGGGTGGGGGTGGGGGGGGGGGGTGGGGGGGGGAGGTGGAGAGGGACAAAGAGGGGCGAGGAGGTAAAGAAGGAAGGTACGAGTTTTAACTTCTGAAGATTCTCCAGATACCTGAAGATTTGCCTTAAACCGTCCTGGTGTTGTATCGTCACAGTCTTTGGGCTCTCACTACAGATAAATGGCAGCAAAAAATGTTTTAAAAAATGACAGACCTTTATATCATCATATTTACGAAAACCAGGTTCAGTCTGTTTATGTAAGAATGAGCCGCAAAGATAAACTTTACTCCCCAAAGAAAGAAAAACATTGCAGCGCAAGCTTACGTTGTCTCCAAAAGCCTTAATAAAGTACGAAACGACTTACTTTCACTCCAGTTCAACCATCGACAAGTACAATCCCTCCATTTACTGTTTTCTCTCTCGTTCTTCCCCTCTTTTCCTTTTTCAACTTTCTTCCTCTCTCTCAGTTACTCCCCCTCTGTCAGATGCATGAAAACACTCACTTAGTCACACACACACACACATACACACACACAAACTAATGCACACACTCCCACAGACAGAGTCACCCTCTCACACACTCTCTCCTCCCGCGACCCGGAATACTTGGCAAGATCCGACTGTACTGAAATACTGTGCTCGCCATATAAGGTAGCAGCAGCTTCACATGTCACACATAATTTACATGCAGCGGGGCGGGAGTTTGTCCTTACACAGCAGCACACACACACACGGAGAAACACACATGCAAGACCATGCTTCCCCCTTTAGGCTGACGCAGCAAGGGAGGGAAGGGGCAAAAGAGAAGCAAAATGTGCCGTTCTCTTGTTAAGCAAGCCCTGCAGGATAACTCCCAACATGTCCAATGTTGAGTCAGACGGAGGGAATGAAAGCTGAGTGGGCGATCTATTGATCCTCTCCACTGCTTCCTGGAACAACCACGGCCCTCGAAACACACACACACACACACACACACACACACACAGACACACACACACACACGCACCATCAAAATATTCTTGCTAACTAGCGCTACCCTCAGGAAGTAGCTATTGTGTGACTGTCTGCTTGGAGCCAAAAATGTGTCTTACTGTGTGTCTGTCTGTGTGTATGCATATATGTGTATGCCTATATTTATAAGACAAGACGTGACATATAAATGTTAACCCAGTGGCCTTATTACTGAACACACACACACACACACACACACACACACGCACACACACACACACACACACACACACACAAAAAGAGACACTAAAGCAAACAATCCTCATATCTCTCTACCTCTGTCTCAATGCACAGAGGCTTACTTTGGAAAGTAAAGACTGCAGCACACACAGGAGGAATGATCTAGATAAACCAATGAGGAAAAAGGAGGAGGGCTATGATACAGGCTCTTACCTCTCACATTGCTCTCCAGTTTTGCGTGTTGTGTGCTTCTGCCTGTCGACTGACTCTGTGTTTATGCGTGTGTTCAGACAGGCCGCGACAGCAGACCCCCAGGCACCGGCTGGACCATTTTCAGGCAGGCAGGCAGAGCGACTCAAGGCAGAGCGACTGGCAGAAGAGAGGCAAGCAAGTGAGCGAGTGAATCAGCAGCGAATGAGTAGAGGAGCTGTGCGGAGCTGAGCACCGGAATGAGAGAGAGGGAGGAAGAGAGCGAGCGAGAGAGAGGAGGAGTGTTTGTCTGTGTGATTGTGCATGTGTATGCGTGTGTGTGTGTGTTGCAGCGTTGGCTGTGTGCGCTAGTGTCTCCCCTCCCCTGCCTCTTGAAGTGGCTGAGACTGGGCTGTGTCTCTACTGACTCCCTAGCCTCTGGATCTTCAGTCTGCTGCCCGAGGAAAGTGGCGCTCGCTGGGTGGCAGTAGCAACAGCTGTGGAAGAGGAGGAGGAGGAGAAGGAAGAAGAAGAAGAAGAGGAGGAGGAGGAGGAGGGAGCCCCGACTGCACTGGTCATACAGATTCTGCAGTGCCTTCTCCCTCTCTCTGTTTTCACTGCTAAAAGCTGGCCACGCCCCCCTAAAACAACACCAGGAAGTGCTGGTTCAGTTACAGCAACACTGCCCTTGCCTTACATATGAAGCTGAGGGAGGAGAGAAGGGGAGAGGGAGGGAGGGAGGGAAGGAGCAAGAGAGGAAACATTGAGAAAACACAGTAAAGAGATAAAGAAGGAGAAAAGCATGAAAGCAAGTTACAAAGAAGAAAGCACAAGTCATGCTCAGTGTGGTGGAAAATATGATGATAGGAAATAATTTACAGGGAGTTGGCAAAGCATTAGTTGGGCTTATGTCTGGATCCCCTCTCTCATGCTATCTTTTCTACTGCAATTATGCTATGGCAAGCAACCTAATGATAACTCTCCTCAAACTCAAAGTAGCACACTATACTGTAAAAGCAGAGCATGCTAAACTGCACTAAATCAAGCTGGGCTATGCTAGTAAGAATCTATAAATCCAGACTAACACAGAGTGTATAAATACTCTAGAAATGACCTCTGCAGGCTGGTTGCAGGCCAGCAACCCATAATAAAAAAGGCCAACCCAGACAACAATAAGATAACTGCTGCTGCCAACTCTCTTGTATTGTTGTTGACTCAAGGCTTCTGCCGCCACAACCCCGTACATCCAGGGAAAAGCCAGAGAGGCAGAAGGAGCCTCCAAGAATTTGATTTGGACCTGATGCCGCAATATCCGGTAGCCATGGAGATAGTGGCCTTGGCATCTGCAGGAATCTTTATAGATTTTGTGCTGTGTGCTGGCGTCAAGTTTTCTGTCTGATCCTATATATTGTCTATAACTCACTTCGGGGGATTGGGATTGAGGATGAAGTGCATTCGAAATGCTGCCTGTTTGGAATGTTGAAATAATCTTGCAACGTGTTTTTATCTCAAAGAAAGCTAATTCCACACAATCCAGTTCCACCGAGACCACACCGGCGTTACTATTGTTACAGACATAGGAACACTTTCTATCCTCAGTATATTTGCATATACACATGTAACAGTGCACAGAAATATCCAAATGCCTCCCCTATGTAAAACTAGTCACAGCTGTCTTTCTGTTCTAACCTCTTCCATCTTTCTTTGGACCAGTTTCTACTGCTGCAACACTGTTCAATACAAAGCCTGTGATAAGTCATCTCTAATTTACACAGCACACCCTTAAACCCTGGGTGACAATCTGTGTTAGAGCCCCAGCTGCAGTGCTAACCTTTTACCTAGCCTCTATTCTGGTGCAATAAGCCTGTGTATCCAGACAGAACAAAACATGTATGATTCAGCCAAAAGGTTGATGTCATGGTGCTATTTTTTTCTGAATTGATCAAGTTTTTATAATCAGTGCCATTATTAGCTCCAATAGCAATATCCACGCCTTGATCAACTTCCAAACATCATTGGGTAATAATGAAAGGAAATCTTTTTTTAACCATTGAACAGCCCCTCTGCTGTAGGAAAACATGCAGTATGCCTTTTAGATTAGCAGAACAATTTGTTTGACTGCTGATCAATGGAAGGAGCGGGTCACTATAAACTCCAAATGGAATTTTCCTTGACCCATAACGAAAAAACACTGTGATTGATGTTTCACTGGCTCGATTGTAGACACATTAGCAACGCCTCCAAAGATCTGGGTTTTCTGCGAAACTCAGACACTGACGTGGAATTTCCCCTCTTCTGCTGCAGCTGAGCTCATGCCAGTGCTTCGGCTTCTTTCTTTCTCAGTTTCTGTCTTATACTTCACTGCTACTCCATATTCCTTATTCATGATCATTATTTTGTATGTGTTTATATAAAGCTTTTCATCATCTTCTTGCAATTTCTGAATACATCTTAATCCCCCTAAATATTCCCCCTCAACAGACCCTTATTCCCCTTCTCTAATTTGGGCTAAAAATATATAGCCAAGCTTTGCAGTTACCACATGGTTTGCTCATTTGGTGAAACGAGTAAAGCGGTAAAAGTTTAATTCTGACAAAAGAAATAATAGGAGCCTATTTCCCATTCTCTAGTTTGTTGTTCTTCATATGAGGTGGAATCAACCATATATTTTCACTTCCTACTTCTCATGTCATGTGTCTCACAGATAAGAGGATGGTGTGACCGTTACTCTCTGAGATCATAGAGGGCTTAGAGCGGTTAGAGTATGAGCAAAGAGCAACAGGAATCAACATACTGGTGGTTGAGCAAACTGTGCAGACACACTTACCAACCGAAAACAGGAAGAGGTGTGTGCAGTGTAGTTAAAAGGGGAATACCACCTATTTTACACATCAAGATGAGTGAACTGCTCATGGGGACTACTTAGATGCTGAAAAAAAGAAGTATAAAGTCTAGTCTGAGAAAGTACGGTTTGTATTATTGGAATTGTAGTATTCTCTGGTATATCAATTTTGGTTATACTTTTACTACCTATCTTTACAAGACTTTAAAAAATAATGAAGGGGGGGGGGTCCTAATTTGAAAAGAGTGGAGCAAGAGTAGTTTAAAAAAATATGTATATATTCCAGAAAGACCCACACACATTAATCCTCTTCAATCACTTTTCTGAAGTCAGCACAGGCTGGCATTGGTGACCCCTCTTCCTCAGTCCAAACCATAGATCCAAACCCTTCAACCTCTGTCCACTCTTATTTTCTCTCCTTCCTCCCCTGATGAACGCACCTTTCCATCTTAGGTTTCCCTATCATCTCAGCGCTATGCTATTTCCCAGCCCTCTGTAAATGACACTGGCTGGCTGATGTGAACTCTCACTCCACTGAGGAAATGTCCCAGAGCTTTGTGTGCCAAGCTCTGACGGCTCATCTATCACTAAGGCCGCAAATACACATTACACTCCCATTACAGACCATCAGAGCAACAACTGCAACAGTACACAGCCTTGCAGAAGGGCCCACAGCAGAGAGCTGCATACAATCATGTTATAAACATGCTTCATATAACTTATAAATTCACATGTTAGCGGGAAAGTTGTGAATGTGTCATACGAACAAATATCGTACTTTTATACTTTAAATGAAAAGGCCTGTTTCCCTGCTGCATACTTTGTGGTTTCCCCTTAACTTCTTTCCACTTAGACACAGTGAGGGGAAGCAGGTGCAATCCAAGCTGTCAAGTTTGAAATACAGAGAGAGGAAATAGCACACTGTCTTGTCCCCATCTGACATTATTGTAAGATGGGGTGTTTGCGCTTGTGCATGCGCCATCCAAGCTTGAAGCTTATCTTGGAGATAAAATGCAAAATGAAATGGAAACACCCTTCGCAAAGAGGCCTTTCACTTTAGCTTTCAGCAATATTATAGTCTAACTGCAGATATACTGCCTCAAATATTAAATACACCTCATTACATCCCAAACTTCTCACAAAATGTCACAGTAAAGAGAAGCATCAAACAAAGTGGTTTCGTGAATTTAACTATGAATACGGACCGTCATACAGCTGGGAAACTATTTTTTCCAAAAATATCACAGAAACTTTTGTTTGTTGAAATCTTAATTAATTACTAAATTGTAATATATTACAAAAAAAACAGAGAAAATCCAGATGAAATGTCAATAAAAGTTATTCCTACAGTGAGTAACCTAAAAGCCAGTAAAGCTTACCTGTTTGTCTGACTAATGCTGACGTGCCACTGAAACAAACGAAGCCGCTTCAACACAGGTCACACTGACGCAGTGCATTGTGGGATGAACCCACTCATGTTAATTTCTCTCTTCCTCTACTTCACTCACTCCCATCTCTCTCACTCTCATAATAGCACCTTCTGCTTGGCAACGTCCATACCACAAATGTGGTCAGGTTTGTATTGAACCATCACTGCGCAACATCAAGTCTCCATGACAACCACTCCTTATCTCATTTGCATCTCCTGCTTGCATTATGTGCTGATGCCAAATATGGTCACCTTGTACCTTTCCCCGCCTCTTTCTGCATCCCCTTTTTATAACTTCCTCTTCCCCTCCATTTTCACAACTGTGTGTTTGCACTTTATGTCTGATGTGCATGCAAACAAACAACGGCATTTACTCATGAGCACAGTTTCTGAGTGTGAGAAAAGAGGAAGTGATTGTGACATTAGACCAGTTTGCAGCTCGCTTTTTAAAATTAGGAAGTGTGGTGCTGTTCAAGAAAGTGCGGTGTGTTATCACAATCCTCCGAGGGCTGGTAGTACATCTTCACATGATTTCACTTACCCATCATTGCTCCTTCTATGAAGTTGGTGCAGGCATTTAGCTTCATCCTCTTCCTCCGGCAGGGAGTATGTCTATCAAGCTATTGCTGGAATGTTGAACCAGGCCCCTGGAGCCCACACAAAGCGAAACTCAGCAGCACTCAGCACCTGTCTTCCTCTGCCAGTACAGAGAAAGAGAAACGGTCAATCAGCCTGGACAGCACAGCAAAGGAGAACGAGCAGAGGGGAGTGGGAGACAGACAAGCATTTCATCAGCAGAAAAACAAAGTGAGCAAGTTGTATGTTATGTGCAAAATATCACATGAAGATTACAGCACTTAACTTTTGAAATAAATCAATTATGGTGTCTTGTCTTATTTACAATACTGATGAAAACTGACTAAACAAGTTGCAGCCTCCGTCTCAAATATGAATTTTCTTCATGTGACAAACTGAACATGAATGGCAACACTAGACATAAGGTTTTAAGGGTGATCTATTGCTTTAATTTCAGAGACCTTGTTTTTTTATTTATGCATTTAAAATGTCATAAAAACAACAAATGTAGTGCATCTGCTCTTTTATCTTGACAACCCTCATTTGTTATAATCAACAGGTATCTTTCCAAGGGGGAATAATCATTTGATGTTTCACTTGTTTAGAGTTAAGAGGACCTCTTTGTCTTTGACCTTACAGTGACACTTTTTGTACCAGCCAGGGGGTTCCTTATCTATTTTTTTTTTCAGGGGCCCAAGAGAATTACAATGCAAAGAAGGTAAAAAAAAAGAAGGTGTTTTTTTTTCTTGTTGTTATTGATAATGGACACTGGTATACCTTCAGACCTCAAAATGACAAAATATCTACAAGAAAACAATTTCTCTTTATTTCTTTGGATAATAACCTTTGGATAATAACCTACCTAATGTTTGGGGCCAACTAATCTACAATGTAGGCAATTTCTTTATGCAAAAAGACAAAACAGCTTACTGAGTTGTTTATTGTCAAGAATTATACGAGATATATATATATGTAGTTAATCTCATAATGAATTTTTGATGTTAAAACGCTAATTCATGTTTCTTTTATATTTACCCAGAAAATTATCGTTTCAGGCTTTCTCGGCTTATCGTCTCTTTATCTGACACTTTAGCTTTCCCGGGCAGCATCTGGAGAAGCTCTGAGGAAGCATCAGAGGCCCTGAGCAGCAGCTAGCCTACCCTCCTCTGGGCTGCAGGGCTGCTGGGACTTGGGGGAATGGAAGTCAATGAAACCAGGCTTAATTTAGCCTCTGCTGCTCTTCAAGCTGCCAGGAATCGGAGTGAGACTCTTCCCTTTTTAGGGCTCTCTGGACTCTGGAGTCTGCAAGTGGCACTACCGATGCTGGAGAAAGAGGCTACAGCCAAAACGTGTTACATGGAAATTACATTATCATTTTTATCAAGGTCTAACAGTCGTAACCCGACACGTTGGGAACTATGTACACATTTAACAAAGCCTTCGGTTATTCAAATGACTCAGCTGTAAGATTATTAAACTGCCAGTTTGGACACTTTTACAACCATCCTATCTTTACTCCACTTTCAGCTGATACAAGGACAGCTTGGTCCTGTAAAATACTGAGACACATTGCCCACTATCACAACAGCTTGCCATAAAATCACACCAGTAATCAGGTGTGAAAAGAGGAATATGAGAGAGTCTATACTTACACTATGCACTTAGCTCGGCACTGACACTTCGTCATGTAATCTTCCATAACAGAGTCTGAGCTGAAACTGGATGCAGGCAGTCTTCATGTGTATTTATTCTCAATCAGAGCAAAAGAAAAAGTGAATAGAAGCTCATCTTCTAAAGACACAAGAGACAAACTTATTTGGTATGAATGGACCTATGACTACAAAATGTGACTTATCATGCATTCTTGTGCAAAACAAAAAAAGACTCGAGTTGATGTCTTTACTTTAAAGAATCAAAAAAATGAGGAGGCAGGCTAAGGCAGCTGTACTCATCATGAAAAGATAGACATGCCACTCTTTATTAAGCGTGGCAGCCTAAGTATTTTAAATAAATGGATTAGATGAGGATTACTTATTCAGCCCCTGCTCCCTTCCCATCTTAATGTTTTCTACTTATGATATGATTACACATTTATTATCACAGAGACCGTGATCACATAAGTCATGGTATGGAATAGACAACAGGATTATCTGATAGGACAATAGGAGAGATACAGTTTCTTCTTTACCTCCCTTCTCCTATGGGTAGCACCAACTTCATGGCTACAACTTTACTGCAAGACTTCCGAGTAACCCCTGCAAAGACCAATCCACACTGACATAATCCCATTAGTCTGTTCAAGGTCCCCGTCTGACCACCCTGCATAATGAGCGATATCCATTAGGAACTGTTTGTAAATGGAATTATTTATGCCTCTTGTGTCAGGGTCAACTAATAATTCAAATAAAACCCCAGTGCAGGAATAGCATATTGGGATTTTTAAAGAAAATGTAGTATTTTATTAGGTTTTTGGCTTTAAAACAGCCCCCTCACTAACTATTTAGACTGCTGTTAAGACGGTCACAGAGACTTGCTTTTCATGCCTTTCCCATATCAGACTCCAGCCGTCACACCTCCATTTATAGAGCACTTCACTGGAAATCTTTGCAGCCTCTTGGAAAACTGTCTACCATGTGACATCATTTATGTGAATGATGAGCTCAGTAACTGTCATCACCACAGTAAGTAATCAGACAAGAGGCTTCATAACAAATTACACTCTTTTTATGGTATTTAAATTGAGCCCGTCTTGCGAAGATAACACAGTCATCCAGTGTTGCATCCAACTGCTGTGCTTTTTATTCATTAACAATTACTGCGGTATTACAAACTAGACATTTCTTTAAAGCATAGGTTCATATTACTTCAAGTCTTCAAACAACAATCTGCTGTCCATATGAACACTGACACAGGTTCAGTGTGCTGAAATCTGTAATGCCTTTACTGCAATATCAGTATTTCTATTTTAATAAATCAGAGATGATTTATTAAATAGTCCAGTCTTCAGTAACACCTCATGGAGCATGGGGTAAGTAAGGAATAAGGGTTCAAGCATCAGCCCTAGATTTAATAGAAGAATATTCTTTACACTACAAGACCCTCCACTTAGTATCATAGCAACCAGTGAACTCAACATGGTACCTATTGTTTTTCTAAAACTAGCTAAGCTGTGCGCCAGACATAATTATATCTCTCCTCAGCCAATCAAACAAGGCTGAGCCATAAATAACAGACTGCTCCCCTACAGAGCACCAGTCTGTGCCCAAAAGTCAACAAACACTTTCTTCAGTCGAGGCTCTTGCTCATGACTGGATTCGTCCTGCACAGTGGAGGACAAAACAGAGGGACGAGAGGCCTATAGGTTTACGAAAAAGGACGAGCGAGAGAGATAGAGAGCGTGGAGAGGAAAAGAAAAACAAATGTAGCCTATGATTACTGAGTCATAATGAGGGCTGTTGAATGGGACTGTGGCTATGAGCTATGTCATTAAAGACAGTGCAGAGTGGCTGGAAAACCTACAGGTCTCTATTTGAAACACTGGCATGCAGGGAGACAAGAGTGAATACAGTAATATGGGATTCAAAAAAGCCTTAAAAAAAAAAGCATATCCAAAGTTATAACAGCATTTCACAAACATTCTGTTTATAATCTCAACGGCAGACGCTCTCTCTTGAGCAATGGCTCAACTTTCAAGGCCTATTACCCTGTTTGTGTTTTTGCCAGACAGCTACCGCAGCACTCTGTCAAACAGCTTAGTCTCCAGGGCCTTATATTTAGATTTTTACGACCAATATTGACTTCTGACCCAAGATATTTCCACTAGGGTGACTCAAGGTGTCACCTCAATAGAGCAACAAGTTATGGCTTCAGTTACCACCAGATCACTTCACATCCCATGACTAGAAGAGGAAATTGGTGCATGTGTCCCCTCTGGGTGATGAGAGATGGGATTGGGAATGAATCTAATTGTATGCAGTAACAGAACATTTGCTTTGCTGAAGGGATTTAAGAATTCATCTAACCTCTACATGTCATGTCAGCATTGTCATTGTGGTGTGACAAGTCGACAAAGAGAAAATGGCTTACACAAAATGACCAAGCTTTTCCTACAGATCGGTTAATGTGTCATTTTTAACTTGCTGCAGGAGTTCTGAAACACTCACTATGAGGTATCTGATCTAATCCAGTGTAACAAAATAATATCTGAGAAATGTAAACAGGGCTCACAGAAGTTCCATAAGACATCCTTGGTATGTATCACATCATAAAAACAGCTGTGTCCTAATTTCCCCCCCCCTGCTATTGGTTTTATTTGGCACCTCTCATATTGGAAGGTGACACTTTCTAGACTTCAGTGTGATATATCCCATGAGTCATAATCTTATCCCTGTTTGTGACTGATAGAGTTTACATAGGTGCACATCTTGACCAGGATTACAGAAGGTCACTATTGGCCTTTGGCCTGTCATATTGTATGTCGCCATGAAAGAGTTAACTCTAACATCAGCTACAGTCTACTCGACTTTGAGCAGGGCTACATTTTTTAGGAAGCAAAGCACTGCATAGTTGTCATTTTTCACATTTTAGTCCATGAAGAAGGGCCTGATTTAGAATGCAATATGTACCTAAGACTTTAGCCTGCACTGTAGGAGTTTATAATTGAATGATAAAGGTCATTTTGATATGGTTGTGGTGCTATACACAGAATCATCTGACAATAATCAAAGTTTAAAAAAGAGAATAGATGTAACATTATTATAATCTGTCACATGAGGGACATATAGTATATCGCTTCAATATTTGTCTTAAAACTTGAAGGACGAGAGTATTCCTGTAGACACTGTGTGATGCTACAGGCACAAGCCCGACCCTCTCTCAGCTCCTTTCTACAAGCCTCCCTATTGGGATTCTGCTAGCCTACATTCCTGTTTCAAGGTCGGCAGCAGTGGCAAATTAAATTACTTGTCCTGTTTTGTGGTGTTGGCGTCGGGTCAACAGCACTTGGCAAAAATGATGATGCAGGATTCTAAAGGGAGCCGCATTCGTCCTGAGCCTCTGGTATCATGTTTGCAAGGCAAGTAGAAGCAATAAAAAGAGCTGAAATCAAAAGCAGTGTATTAAATTTTGCCTCTGTAATCACTTGCAAAAAAAATCAATTACCACTGCTTTCAAATGCACCACTTTATACCATTGTCCTTTGGATTTGCCCTGCTACTGCAGGATGTCATGTGCTTGCACATGGAGGGAAGCTTGAGTACATTAGGCCTAATTTTGTTAAGCTCATGCCACATCACACGCCACCTGCTGGGCTCTGTGGATATGATATGTGGCAAACAAGAATAAACATTAAGTGTACCTTTTACATTAATTATATTGTGATTGTTATATGGCTGTTTATTTGAGATCTCTTTTCACTGACGTCTTTCACTCAGCAGTGTCCCCTGTCCACATTTCGACAACCACAATGCATTTCTGTCATGTAGGCTGTCAGTATCTCGTGTTAGCTGTCTGCACAGCAGCATGTGGAGTTTATCTCTGAGGTGCTGAGGGGGTTGTTATCAGCAGACAAACAGCTTACACACAACAGTCTGGTATGGGAGGAACTTAAAGTATGTAATGAGGAATCAAAACACCTCCCAACAGGCTACTCGTTATAATGCTTCACTAGTTTAAAAGTGTGTCACAAAGGTCAGGTGTAGTGCCATCAAACAGATTTACAGGATAAATAAATATGGACTTAGCCTGTCATTTAATGTAGTTTTAGGCTCACCTCTAAGAGAATATTTATTTGTGACAATAAATTACTCAGTTAGATGCACTGAAGATATACACTATAAACATGTTTGTTTATATCAGAAAGGATCTGACCATAAAAAAAAACATCAATCGCTTTTCTGAGGTCAAACATCATGATGGGTTAAGCTTAAGCACCCAAGTATTTCTAAGACCCTTTCAATGGCAGTGCAGGGTTTTTCGATTGAGTCACAAATATGATGTGAAAAGATCTGTCAAAGTTCTATGAAATTGTTCTAATATATAAAGCTTTTGCATTTGAATTGTAATTCTTAATTTTAAAAAACTGTTCGTGTATTTATGTCTTTAGTGTCCATGAAATAAATCTATAAGGCAATCTATGGCAGAGCTAGTTATATGGTAGGTGTTGATACTTCTAAAAACCAGTTATTTGAAGGTGCAAGAGGTTTGTCGGATAAGCACTGACATCGCTGTTATTTGTGGTCAAAGATAAAAAGGGATATGACATTTCTAACCAGAAGGGGTCACTGAAATATGCTTTTTTGCTTGGTGCTCTTTAAGCTTGATGTTTGGACAAGTAAGCACTAGAGAGCAGCAGAGCAGCACCAAACAAACACTGTCAGACTCGTTCTCTTCTATTGATACTGCATATATGTTTTGTAGGTGTTTTAACTGTAATGCATCATAGAAATGTATTAACATTTACAAACAGCCATTCACAACACATTATTTACTTTGTTATTAGTTTATCTGTGTTTGTGTGAAGTAGGCTATTTAGATTTGTTTATTGAAATTTACTGCAAATCCACTAAGGCAGTTTGCATAAAACCA